CTTTTGAGGGCTTGGCAGTCAATTAGCATATTCCCTCCTTATTGGCTGTGGGCACCATCATCTTTGCAATGGCATGAGATTAAATTAGCATATTCCCTCTTTATTAGATAGGATTCTCTTGGGTATATGTCTAGGAGAGGAACTGCTGGGTCTTATGGTAACTCTTATCAATAAACTCCCAAAATAATTTCTAAAAAAAGTTTTACTATTTTACATTCTTGTGAGCAACGTATGACAGTTCCAATTTCTCTACACCCTCATCAATACTCTTCTCTGTCTACTTTCTGAATATAGTCATCCTAGTGGGTGTAAAGTAAAATCTCATTGTGATTTGGATTTGAATTTCCTTAAGAGTTAATGATGTTGGGCATCTTTTACTGTCCTTATTGGCCATTTTAATATACTAGAGGATTGATGCACAAAATTCGTGCAAGGGCCTTGGCCCTAGCGGGCCCCCATCTACTGTGGCTTTTTCCGGAAGGAAGGATGTCTGATCTAATTAGCATATTATGCTTTTATTATTAGAGATTCTTTGGAGAAAATGTCTATTCAGGGCCTTCAACCTGTTTTTAAATTGAATTGTTTTAGTAAGAAGAGTTCTTCATATATTCTGGATACAAACCCCTTATCAGATACAGAATTTATATTTTCTCACATTCTGTGCAATGTGTTTTCTCTTTTTTGATGGCATCCTTTCAATCAAAAAAGTTAAAAATTTTGATGAAATCTTTTCTTTATTGCTGTTGCTTAGCTTTTGGTGTCATATCTAAGGAATCACCATATAATCAAAGGAAAGCTGTCCTCCTATTTTTTTTCCCCCTGTAAGAGTTTTATACTTTTAGCTCTTACATTTAGGTCTTTGATTCATTTGAGTTAATTTTTGTCCAAGCGTATGATAGACATCATTACTACTTGCCATTCAAACCAAAAGTCATGATCATAATAAAGCAAGATACAGAGATCCCCAGAATTCTTTTTCAAGACAAACTTACATGTCTTCCTGAATTAAATGAACAGGAATGCCCTCACATTTTAACAAGAACACCTAACAACATTTGTAATTAGTAGGAAAATCATTAGGAAATAAAATTAAAATTACTAGGGTAGCTACAGCTTTAAAATTTCATTTTAAAAGTAACTTAACAAATATTGTTATAACTACTTTTGTTTACAGAAAGTTTAGATATTTATTGAAAAGTATTTAAGTCTTTATTACAACTTTTATACATGAATGATTTCTTTGAAGGTGGAAAAAGCCAGAGTTTTCCTAATTTCATGAGGAAATAGGTCAGTGTGAACAACTGGTAAGGAAGAGTTAGTTGATGGCTAAATTCTGTCATGTTACACTTAGTAGAGACCTCTCAAAATTCAACGGACACCCAATGTTAATTATAAAAATAACTACATACACATAAGAACACTTGGAAAATGAAAAGCTGTTCCAATGACACACTGCAAAACTTTTGGTATATGTTAGTACCTATATCATATTTTTAGATCCTGTATTTTTCCTCCTGTTAAAAATAAAAAATTACTGGCATCCTAATAAAATCTCCCAGAATATATTATTAAATGTGCTTATTTTTATTAAATGCACTTTATAACCTTGTACTACCTAAAGCATATAACTTACAGCATTACATTTACCATTTCACTGACCAAATATAGTCCATTACATAGGCAATGCTACAAATGAGAAGTGAAGCTACCGAATGCTATAGGAAAAATATTTCCCTTTCCTAGCTAAAAATAAACGTCACTGATATTTATATTGCAGTTTCATTACACCAACTCAGCCATCATTAGGGGTAGTTCCTTCCAAAACAAAAGTAGCCTTCTGGAGAATGACAGTGAAATGCCAAAATTTTGGCAAAACAGATCTAAAAACCTCATTTTTATTTATTAATTTTTGCACAAGCACAAAAGCACATTTTTAATATGTACCTTCACATTAGCTTCTTTCAAATTGATGACCTTGTCTAAATCTGGTTTAGCTGCGTTGGCATTGCCAATAAGCAGGTAGAAGGTAGCTCGTAGTAATAATGCTTCTGCCATGTATTTGCCTTGAGCATCTATTTCTTTTGAGCATTCACTTATGATCTTATCATAGTTTTCTTCTTCCATGTATTGTTTAGCCTTTAAATATCCAGAACTGAAAATAAAATGAATATAGGAGATCATTTACAAAGAGAGGATGAAATGCTACAACCTGCCACACTTAGTAGACCCGAATTAAGCAAACATCCATTTCCCCTTAATAAGCTAGTCGGCCAGTGTGGGAAAGCAGCAGGGCAGGAGGTAACAGGAGTCTTGATTTTCATGATGCTTGAATAATTTTTAAAAAGGAATCAGCAGAGTCAGTGGCAAAAACCTGGAGTTACTGCCCAAGCGTCAACATTTAAACACTTGAAATGAACAGGGCAAGTCTTATTCACTTTCTTATCTGTGGCACATTGATGGCATGCAACAGTTATTTTATGACTAACAGAAAGGATAAAGAAATCCTATATAATAAAAGGCTAATATGCAAATAGACTGAAAGGCGGAATGACCAGTCTCTTGACATGCACTGACCACCAGGGGGTTGGCGCTCAATGCAGGAACTGGCCCCCTAGTGGTCAGTGCGCTCCCACGGGGGGAGTGGAGAGCTGCTCAACAAAAAGCCAGGCTCATGGCTGGCAAGCACAGCAGCGGTGGCAGTCAGATATCCTTTGAGGCTCCAAGACTGTGAGAGGGTGCAGACCAAGCTGAGTCACGTCCCCCCAAACCCCAGTGCACAAATTTCATGCACCAGGGCTATAGTTGGAAATAATTTAGGTCAGGGTCACAGAGGCCAAGGGAAGAGGGTGTGACCAAAGCTGTACTTTGTAAAGATGAGCAAGGGAGCAAGACTAGAAGCAGAGAAATATCTGCAGGGCTTTCATCCAGAAGTTGTGTTGTTTTACTTATAAGAACAGACCTAGAAAGAATAGGTGGAAATATCAAAGAAGCAAATTTAAAGGTAGATTCTCCCAGAAAAAGTACTTTAAAGACATCCTTCCCTACTTCTTAAATTCAGTGACTACAATATCATTATTCATCTAAGATGATGACTATTATCAAAGGTGCTTACAGGAGGGATTTCCTTGAACTGAAAAGGAATTTATAATAGATGAGCTTATAAGAGGTGTTATAAACATAAGGTATTATAAATGGAAGTACATTTTCTCATTCCACTTGTTATATATTTTTAATTAAAAAAAAAACTGACAAATGACTTGAGTTGTTGGTCAAGCCTGGCTGGTGTGGCTCAGTGGTTGAGCACTGACCTATGAACCAGGTTACGGTTTGATTCGCAGTCAGGGAACATGCCTGTGTTGCGGGCTCGATCCCCAGTGTTGGGCATGCAGAACACAGCCAATCAATTATTCTCTCTCAACATCAATGTTTCTATCTCTCTTCCTCTCCTTTCCTCTCTGAAATCAATAAAAATACATATTTTTTAGTTTTGTTCCTCACGTAACCAGGCTAAGAAAATATAATTATTAAATCAGTATGGAAATAATAATGGTTCCTAACTTATTGAGAATCTAAGTGTATGCTTACAAATATAATCTTTAAACTTCATAACTACCCTCAAAGATAAATATTACCAGCCCCAGTTAAAAAATGATGAAGCTACAGTTCAGAGTAAAATGGAATTCAAAAACTTAGGCCCGATTCCAGCTAGTGTTTTGGTGACAGGTAGCTGCCACCTCTCAATATATCTTTTAGAATAATGGTATTAACATCATTGTAGTTTTGCTCGGACAATGACCTTTTTCCTAACCAGAAGAGGAAATTATTGGCATAATTTTAAACATTTACTTCCCAACAACTATCTTCTGAAAAGACTAAGTATCAACTAAAATTTGAACATCTTAGTATCATTATGCATAGTATCTTCCTCCTTAAAAACTGGCCAACAATGCTGGAAAATTTGAGAGACAGAAATGAAAAACAATCTCTATCCTGGACCCAGAGAGAATTATGCTAAAGTGAAATAAGCCAGTCAGAGAAAGACAGTGCCATATGATTTCACTTACATATGGCATCTAATGAATAAAATAAACAAAACAGAAACAGACTCAAAAAACACAAACAACAGGCTGACAATGTTAGAAGGGAATGGGGTTAGGAGGCCAGGTGAAAAAGGTAAAGGGGTTAAGCAAAAACTAATTAAATCATAGACATAGACTAACAGTATAGTAATTACCAGAGGGAAAGAGGAGTCGAAGGGGGTGAAAGGGGCTAAATGGTGAAGGAATGAGACTTGACTTGGGTGGTGAACATACAATACAATATAGAGGATGTATCTAGGATTGTACATCAGAAATTTTTATTATTTTATTAACCAGTAACTCCAATGAATTCAAATAAAATGAAAAGCTGGTTAAGAGACATTTAAAATTAAAGAATAAAAGAGCAATCTGTTTCCTTAAACGTTCTAATATGTTATAGGTGGAAAACTATGCTTTTCTACAAAAATACTTCCTTTTCTTCCAAATTCATTTAGAAATGTTATTTTGGTAATAATAGTGTACCTTTTCCTGGAGAGGAAAGGTAGTCTTAACATCAAAACATAAGTACTGATAAAGACAAATGGACAAGCAGGCTAGATGGCTTATGTACTAGACTGTACCACTGACCTCCAGTTGTAAACATGGCATCCTATACTGCTCTCCAAAAGAGCAAAGTCAAGAAGCCTAGAAAAAGGCATTTTCCCAAGCAAGCAGAAAAAAAGCTTGAAGAAAGTCATTTTTGGGAACTCCTAAGCATCTCAGTTTATAAATTATAAACTTCCCAACACTAAAACGTTTGAATATTCAATTACATAATAATTTTCAAATTAATGTCCCTATTTGAATAGTTGATCACCTCACTCACTGGGAATCCTCTTGTGAATATCACTAGGACCCTAAAAGCGGGGCAAACTCCTGCTAGTAAAACCTTAAATCACCGGAGAAAAACTCTCAGGGTGTAATAGACACATGTGAGAAGTATTTTTATTATAACAATGCTATCAGGATATTTATTTATTTTTTTCTAGATGAGTGAGAACCCCATTTAGGCACATAAAAAAACCAAAACTAAGCCCTAGCTGATTTGGCTCAGTGGACAGAGTGTGAGCCTGTGGACCGAAGGATCCCAGGTTTGAGTCTGGTCAAGGTCAATTCCCAGGTTTTGGGCCTGATTCTCCAGTGTGGGTGTGCAGAGAAGGCAGTTGATTAATGATTCTCTCTCATCTTTGATGTTTCCATCTCTCTCCCGCTTTCCCTTCTTCTCTGAAATCGGTAAAAATATATTTTTACAAAACAAAAACAACAAAAATCCCCCCCAGCCCAGCCCAGCAATGTGACTAAGTAGTTGAGTCAACCCATGAACCAGATCACAGTTCTGTATGGGGCTTGATTCATCTAAGATTCAGCAGGAGAAGTGCAAGAGGAAGCCAATTAATGATTCCCTCTCATCATTAATGTCTCTCTTTCCCTTCCTGTCTCTGAAATCATTGAAACATATTACAGATTAGAGGCCCAGTTCACAAAATTCATGCAAGGGGTGTGTGTGTCCCAGCCCAGCCTGCACCCTCTCCAATCTGGGACCCTTCAAACAATCCAGGACTGCTGGCTCCTAACTGATCACTTGCCTGCAAACCTGATCAGCCTCTAACCATTCCCTTGCCGTCCTGATTGATGCCTAACTGCTCCCCTGCCAGCCTGATTGCCCCTAACTGCCCACCCTTGAAGGCCTGGTCATCTTGTGTGTTGGAGTGACAGTCAATTTGCATATTACTCTTGTATTAGATAGGATAGAGGCCTGGTGAACGAGTGGGGGCTGGCTGGTTTGCCCTGAAGGGTTTCCTGGATCAGGGTGGAAGTTCCCTTGGAGCGTGAGGCAGCCTGGGTGAGGGGCCTGTGGTGGTTTGCAGACTGGCCACGCCCTTCCAGCAACCCAAGTGGAGGATCTGGTATCTGGGATTTATTTATCTTCTATAATTTAAACTTTGTAGCCTTGAGTGGAGGCCAGAACGGGTGGGAAGCCTGGTTTCCTCCACTGCCGGGGAAACTCAAGCCTCCTGCTTGCTCTGTGGCTACAGCCATCTTGGTAGGGTTAATTTGCATACTCATTCCTGATTGGCTGGTGGGTGTAGCAGATGTATGGTCGATTTGCATGGTCAATGGTTTCTCTTTTATTAGTGTAGATATATACATATATAAAATATCTCCCCCAAAATAAGCAGATACTATACTTAACACACTTACTTTTCTTTCACTTCTAAAACCTCCCCTTCCTTGTCTTTATCTTCATCAGACTTCTCTCCTTTAAGCATGGGCTGAGAAATTATATCATCCGTGAAAGAACTGAAGTAAGATTTGATAAACTGTGGAGATGGCATCAGAGGTTCGCGATTCTGAAATTCAATCATAATTAAATACATCAAAATGAGAAAACACAAACCAAAAAAGCAGATACATTTATACAACACTGAGAATGACATAAGAATTGGAATCTCTTTTTTAAATAACTGAGGAATATTAGGTTCCATACTATATAGGACAGCAGAAATGGTAAAGCTGTCAGCCCTAGCTGTTCAAAGCAGGTTTTAAGTGAGAACATTTCCCCTCTTCAAAGATGTAAAATGTTAAGAAATCTTAGAACCATTCATTAGCCAAGCCAGCATGGCTCTGTGTTTGAACACCGACCTATGAATCAGGAGGTGGTTCAATTCAGGGCATATGCCCCAGTTGTAGGCTTGATCACGAGTGAAGGGCATGCAGGAGGCAGCCTATCAATGATTCTCTCTCATCATTGTTGTTTCTATCTCCCTCTCCCTTCTTCCTTCCTCTCTGAAATACACACACACTAGGTGTACCAGTTAATGTGGATTTTGTAATCAAGTAAACATGATAATTTTATTTTTTAATTTAGTTTTAATTTTTTAAATATATTTTATTGATTTTTACAGAGAGGAAGGGAGAGCGCGATAGAGAGTTAGAAACATCGATGAGAGAGAAACATCGATCAGCTGCCTCCTGCACACCGCCTACTGGAGATGTGCCTGCAACCAAGGTACATGTCCTTGACCAGAATCGAACCTGGCACCTTTCAGTCCACAGGCCAATGGTCTATCCAGAGCCAAACCAGTTTCGCAAGCATGACAATTTTAAAGAGACACATCAAAAGTGCTTTATTCAAAGTAATGTCCGTCATTAGCTACACATTTCTCCATCTTTCAGGTAATTTGTGGATATCCCAAAGAACTTTTCTTGTTTTGAAGCAAATCATTCAGAGGCCCAATTTTCCACTTCTTTGTACGTTTTGAAGTGCTGCTCAGAAAGTATTTGTGCCATCGATTGGAACAAATGGTAATCTGAAGGAGCAAGGTCTGATGAATATGGCAGGGGGGTTAATATACCTCAGGCAAGATCTTTTAATGTGTCTTTAACTATTTTTGAAGTGTGTGATGGTGCATCATCACGAAGGAAAATTACTTTGCTGTGTCTTCTGTCACATTCTGGTCATTTTACAATGAAAATGTGGTTCAAATTGATTTCTTATTGTCGGTATCTGGTTTTAGAAGCTCATAATACATCACACCTTCCTGATCCCGCCAAACTCAGAGAATTGTCTTCTTTTTTAAGCGATTTGGCCTTGCAGTCAATGTGGATGGTTAACCTGGATCAACCCATGATTTTGTGCATTTGGGATTCTCAAAATATATCCACTTTTCATCGCCAGTCACAATTCAATGCAAAAAAAACAAAACTTTCTTTCATGCCATTGAAGGAACATTTTACTGATGACTTTTCAGTTTTCCACTTGTCTTTCAATCGTTGATATGGCACCCATTTTCTTTTAAAATCTTTCCCATTGTTTGTAAACAATCGGAAATTATTTGCTGAGCAACATTTAATCTTTCTGCAAATTGTTTTTGAATTTGACAAGCATCTTCATCCAATAAATGCTTATAATTGTTGATCTTCAAACTTTTTCGGTTAACCTGGAAGTTCTTTGTCTTTCACATTGAAATTATCACTTTTAAAGCATTGAAACCAGCATTCTCAAGTATCCTGAGATGGAGCATGGCCACCATAAGCTTCCAGAAGTATACGTTAACTTTTCAGTAGTACTTTTCTTCAAAATAAAGTAACGAATTAAAACTCCTTCAAATGCTCTTTTTTATGGCACGAAATTCAACATTTTTAAGCATAAAGATACCTATGATGTTAACACCTTCAGCAAATTTGACAAATGAAGTTTTGAAGCTTATTGTCAATACAACAAAATAGCATACATATAAAATCATATGTATCAATATATGGATAATTCCATCTATTGAAAAAAATCCACATTATTAACTGGCACACCTAATATATATATACACCATTCACTAAAAGTAAAAGAAGGTAAAATCTGGAATCCAGGGGACAAATAACTGCTGAGTTAAAATGATATCCTTCTGGTCCCTGTCCTAGGAGACTAGCATCTCAGTTCACCACTGAAGACCATGTCTTACAAACGCGTTGACATGTAAAGTCTACATCCCATGGGCCTTCATCTGTCCTCTGTACTGCATCTGAATATCTCCATTAGAGTTAAGTGCCAATTGAAAGCCAGAATGAGATCATATTTCCTGTTAAGTTATTGCTTTTTGGCATGGGAAACTCACTCACAATCACATAATTATAGTAGCATTTTGTTTTTTCTTATAGTACAACTTAGATGATAAAGTTTTAAAGGTAGAGAGAAGAAGAAGTAACAGCCAAAGGGCTCTCATAATATATATTGGATCCTTTATATACAAAATTCAATCAAAAATTTTTTAAGTGAAAATATAGTATTTAAAATTGTATATCAAATATTATTGTTATTTTGGTAGATTATTTTGAGAATATATTTTTATTATTGATTTCAGAGATGGAAAGGGAAAGATAGAAATATCAATGAAGAGAATCATTGATTGGCTACCTCCTGCATGCTCCAAACTCCTAAAAAATGATATGGAGTCTATATAAATATCGGTTAACTTGCATTTTCTTACGACCCTTCAATTCAATCAGTACAATTCCTTAACAATAATCTATAATAATAAAAGGGTAATATGCTAATTAATCCAGATGTCCTTCTGGAAGTTATTTCGTATGTCCTTCCTGACGAAGCTGGGGCTGGAAGGAAGCCAGCCCGGGTCCTGGTGCGGTGGGGAAGCCAGTGCCAGCAGCCGGGGAAAAGAAGGCCTACTCTTGCACGAATTTTTGTGCATCAGTGTTATGTAAGTAAACATTAAACATTAAAAAAAAACAAACAAACAAAAAAAAAAACAAACAAACAGGTTCCCTTAAGATTCCATTTATATTTTACAGTGTTTTAAGGAACACCAGTTCTATGAAGTGCTCAGTGAGAGACAAAGGATCATTAGTTTAAAAAAACTGAGAACCGCTACATCTATATTTCTCTTAGGGATTCATAACTCATCTGAGCACATGAAAGTCCTGCCATGAAGGACCGTGTTTTAACTCAGCTAATATTTGAAAATGGTAAGTTAAAAATATACATAGCTTGTTAAATTGAAATTTTTTAAATAAAACCAAACAAGTTATTATTTAAAAAAAAAAAAAAAAAAAAGGAACAATTGTTAAATTACTGACATTTAGCAGAAAATCTCTAGGGATATTTGGTGATGACTGTGGTACTCCCACAGTACTCTACTCATACCTTCCCTGGCACTTCACCATATGATGCCTTATACCTATCATGGTGGTTTCCCTCACCAAACTAATTGCTTAAGGGCAAGGACCAGTCTCTGTACTGACCCTTCTAAAATGCCCACCATGGAACTTTCATCAATATTCGTGAGAGCCCCTGTCACAACTACTCGACTCTACTGTGGTAGCTTAATAGCAACCAAAAATAGTGTGTGAGCACCTGAGTTCCAAATAAAATATCTATATATACAAAGAGGAAGTATGCAAATTAGGCCAGGAGCCATAATGGGTCACGACCAGACAGGAGGAGGTTGTGTGCGCAGGTAAGGCCCGGAGTGGAGACGGATGCAGGGGGAGAAGGGACGGGCCGGCCCCCAGAACTGGAGCACACACGAACAGGGACAGAGGGGCCAGCCTGCAGCCTCCATGGCCAAGCACAGGTCTGGAGAGGAGACGGTGGGCCTGCCTCCCACGGAAGCAGCACAGCTCCTTCCTACCTCATGCGGAATTGGTGCTGGCTCCCGTGAAAGTGGCGCGGCTCCCCCAGAAGTGGCAGGCGGCCTACTGCTGGCAATATCATGCTATGGGCGGGCTACTACTTACTTATAAAAACAAATGGCAGATGGGATTTGGCCTATGGGCCATTTAACAATTCCTTTTAATGTTCTCCAGGTACAATATTGGACACAGCCTACATTCTTATTTAAAAAAAAGATAAGTAACAAAAACTCAAATTAAAAGGAAAAATAAATATAGTCCAGATCTAATCCAGTTATCATTACCATCAAGCCCAAGTTTAAACAATATATTAGAAATGACCACTCAAAATGTATACTCACCCTCTATTAACCAACTCAGATTAATTTACCTTGTATTTTTCTTTGGCTTTCTCTTTTCCAAGAAGTTTAAGAACTTTATCAGCTAACAGCATGCTTTGTTGATTTTGGAACCCTTCTAATATACACACAGCAGTAACATCTAGAAATAATAGAAAAACAAGAATAATTATGAAATTATTGTGAAGATGACTAGCAGCATCAAATGGGCACAGTCTTACCACAGAAAGCCAAACTAAATTCATGGCTTTATGTAGCTATCAATTTCACTTCCAATAAAGTGATTCCTACACTTTATTTTATATGTTCTATGACCAAACTCAAAGCTCAGAAAGTCACTCCACTTCTATGAGATTCACTTTCTTCACCTGGGAAGTGAAAGAGACTGTAGTGCGTGATTTTTTGTTTCTCCTGCACTAACATTTTACATAGAAAATAAAACAAGGAACTCAGGAGCATTCTCTTAGGGCCAGTAACTATAGGCCAAATTAATATCTGGTCTTTTTATAGGCCTCAGAGTTATTTCTTATTATAGAGCCATCTTGCCAGGGTTCTCAATGAAATATACTTCAAAATACCATTTTTATGTGGTCATGCCATAGTTCTAAGATACACTAGTTTGGAATTTAAAAGATCAGTGATTCCTTAATCTCTCAACTTTAAAAGTACTAAAACAATGGCTGTTCCTGTTTTCTGAACTCAGCTTCTTACAATTACAAATCCTTCCTTCTCCAAGAAGTCTTTCTGCTGTTATGCTCCCAAAAGCCTGGTTATGCCAGTATCAATGTTTTTCTAATCCCATTTTCCATATTAAAATCCATTTAACCTCCTCTTAATAAAGTATCTATAAATAACTTCAAGATTCCATTCAAAACTCAAAATTCTCTATCCAAAGCAACACACTTCCATCTACCACCAAAGTTATGACAACATAAAACATCAAATTTTTCTAAATGTTCTGTAAACCACTCACTTGGTAATTTAGGTTTTCAATAAATAAAATGGCACTTTTCTTTTGAATAATAATGCTTTTAAAAATAATTATGGCCCTAGCCGGTCTGGCTTGGTGGATAGAGCTTCAGCCTGTGGACTGAAGAGTCCCAGATTCAATTCTGGCTAAGGGCATATGCCTGGGCTGCCAGCTCAATCCCCAGTAGGGGATGTGCAAGAGGCAGATGATCAATGATTTCGTCATTGATATTTCTATCTCTCTTTCTCCCTCTCCCTTCTTCTCTAAAAATCAATTAAAATAAATTTTAAAAAATGATAATTGTGGCTAGCCCAGCAGGTGTGGCTCAGTGGTTGAGTGTCAACCCATGAACCAGGAGGCAATGGTTCAATACACAGTCAAGGCACACGTCTAGGTTTCAGGCTCAGTTCCCAGTAGGGGGTGTGCAGGAAATCAGCCAATTGGATGATTCTCTCCCTCCCCCTCTTCTTCCTCTCTCTGAAATCAATAATATATATATATATATATATATTTTTTTTTTTAAATATATTTTATTGATTTTGTACAGAGAGGAAGGGAGAGAGATAGAGTTAGAAACATCGATGAGAGAGAGTCATCGATCAGCTGCCTCTTGCACACCCCCTACTGGGGATATGCCCGCAACCAAGGTACATGCCCTTGACCAGAATCGAACCCGGGACCCTTCAGTCCCCAAGCCAACGCTCTATCCATTGAGCCAAACCGGTCTCGGCTATATATATTTTTTTAAACAAATAATAATTATGGCTAAATCTTCTGAGTGTTTATGGTTTTAATTGTGTAAGATTTAAATGTGCAATGGAAAACAATTTTAGATGGTAGAATTACACTTTGATTTAGCTCCACGTCACCCAGAAGAATGTACTTTAAAACCCAGTGGTCTAGCCCTGGCTGGTTTGGCTCAGTGGATAGAGCATCGGCCTGCGAACTAAAAGGTCCCAGGTTCAATTCAGGTCAAAGTGCACACGCTCGGGCTGTGGGCTTGAACCCCAGTGGGGAACTTGCAGGAGGCAGCTGAGCCATGATTCTCTCTCATCATGGATGCTCTCTCTCTCTCCCTCTTTCTTCCTCTCTGAAATCAATAAAAAACATATTAAAAAAAATAAAATAAAACAGCAGAAATGTATTATACAAACAAACAAAAAAGTGGTCTATACTATAATTGAAATTTTGATACCAGAGTATTTACAGTATTTACTAAGAATGGCACTTTCACTTCATGCTATGTCATTTCTAACTGGGTATAAAATAATGTTTGAAAAATACAGAGGATAAAAAAAATGTTTTTAATGAGTCATTTTAAAATTATTTTAGATGTAGGATATTAACTGAAAACATGTAGAATCTTAGAAAAACTATCACTTACTAAAACCTCTTTCCTGATTTTTTACTCATGGAATTACACTGATGCTCACTGGTTGTCAATTTTAAAATGTATAGTGTATTAAATCCGAATCATAATATTTATTTAATTCCATAATTGAACAGAGACTGTCCTCAAGTATCAGCTAGTACAATTTAAACCAGAAAACAAAGTCTCAATTTGGAAAGAGTTGAACTTCTAAATAAAATTGATTTTTATACTGACAGGCAGAGTTTCATATAAATTTTACCAATGAATACAAAAACCATTAATTTTCATATGGAAACACAAAAATATCCTCACCTTCTAAACATTCTTTCTTATTGTCTAGCTTCTCGTGGGCTTTTGCACGTCTAAAGAGAGCTTTCACATATTTGGGATTAAGTTCAACAGCCTTTGTACAATCTTGTGCCACCTCTTTCCATTTTTGCTGTAATTGAAAGTATTTTTTAAAAGTCACACCAAAGCACTGTTTGACAGAAATCAGTTTTCCAAACTTAACAGGCTGATGTTAAGAGTCTGACAATAGAAAAAAGAATTTTCAATACATATGAAGAATATAGTTCATATAAATATCTGTAATAAAGATAAGCAAGGACACACAGAAGGCCGAGAGAGACGTATGAAAACATGCTCAAAGTCACTAATCCTCTGAGAGATGCAAATCAAAATGACAATGAGGTACCATCTCACACCTGTCAGAATGGATATAATCAACAAATCAACAAATGACAAGTGCTGGAGAGGATGCGGAGAATAAGGAACTCTCTTGCACTGCTGGTGGGAATGCAGACTGCAAAACTAAAAATGGAACTCCCATTTGACCCAGGAATCCTACTTCAAGGAATATATCCCAAGAAACCAAATACATTAATCAGAAAGGATATATGCACCCCTATGTTCATAGCAGCTCAATTTACAATAGCTAAGATTTGGAAACAGCCTAAGTGGCCCTCAGTAGATTAATGGATTAAAAATTGTAATACATCTACACAATGGAATACTAAACTGCTGTAAAAAAGGAACTTTCACCATTTGCAACAGCATGGATGGAACTAGAGAGCATTATGCTATGCGAAATAAGCCATGTATAGTGTATTAAATCCGAATCATAATATTCATTTAATTCCACATGATAAATATCACAAGATCTAACTCATTTGTGGGATATAATGATCTACATAAACTGAGGAACAAAAATAGATCCGGAGACAAGGGGTAGGGGTGGGGGTGTTAGAGAGCAACCAAAGGACTTGTATGCATGCATATTAGCATAACCAATGGACACAGACACTGAGGTGGTAGGGGTTTGGCCACCGGGTGGGAGTGGATGGGGGTATCAACAAGGAAAAGGGAGACATGTAATACTTTAAACAATAATAATATTTTTTTAAAAAGGTAAGCAAACTGATTAGTAAAAATACTAGGCAAAGGACATACTTAGGCCAACTTTCTACCACCAAATCTACAAACCTACCTGCATCTATGTGCCCATATCATCTTCTTCTTCCTGCCTGTTAGAAATGAGGAAGCACCGTTCTTTATCAAAGGCCAACCCTCCACTTATGGATCTGTACTCTCTCCACTTTAGGGACTCCACTCTGTTAGCCATTCTCTCTCTCCATCAATCTGACGCCTCTACTGAATCATTCCTATGAGCATCTTTTAAAAACCCTCCATTGATTCTATAAATCCTGTAGCTTTTACACCATTCTTCAGCTCCTCTTTACTGCCAAACTCCAAAGAGTTGCCTCTCTATCTGATTTCACCTACCTCACTGGCTGTTCCTTCATAATTTCCTTCACTAAATTCTTGCTCTCTATCTGATTTCTGCATGCTGGAATATTCAAGGCCTCATCTCTCTTCCTAGGTGATCACTTCTATTGTCCTGGAATTATATAACACCTAAAATTAGATGATTCCCAAGTATATTGCTTTAGCTCAAACCACTCTCCTAAAATAGACACTTCTCAAGTCAACTGTGTACTTAGCTGTCTCATGCCTTTCCCAACCCACTGTTATTAAAATTCCTGCTTCTCTTCACCCTTCACATCCAATGCTGTTGGGTTTCAGCTTTCCTTCATGGCTCATCTAAGCTACTACAACATCCTTAGTTGGTCTCCCTGCCTCCATTCTTGCCTCCCTCCAATATAGTCTTTACAGAATGGCAAAAGCAACAGATGATATTCCTGCTCTACTTAAAACCCTTAAATATTTCCCTATACTCAGCATCAAATCCAAATTCCTCACCACTACAAGGCTTTGCTTGATCTGGCCTCTGCTATTTCTCCCAATTTCATCCCTCTATATTCCAGGATCCTTTATACTTCATTAATCACACCAGACTCTTTCCTGCCTCAAATTACACATAGCATTTCCACTATTTGTAATACTCTCTTTCCCTACTTTTATATGCACCAATACCATCTTCAATCATTCCTCGATTATAGAATCATGCGTTTTTCAAAGCATTTACAAGATATCATTTAGTAGTTCGTTGTTTAGCTATAAAGTCTATGCATAACTGTTTGCTTTTATATAGAACCAGCTCCTGCCATAGTAACATTCCATACAGTCAATTAAATTTGGTTGAACAAATAAACGCAGAGAATACAAATGCTCAATAAGCATAGAAAAGGATAGTCAACTTCAGCATCATTTCACAAACTGCAGATTAAAGTAATGAGACAGTATTTTTCTTCTATAGAAGTGGCAAATATTATTAAAACTGATAACCAGCCTAGCCAGTGTGGCTCAGTGATTGAGTATTGATATATGAACCAAAAGGTCACAGTTTGATCTCCAGTCAGTGCACATGCCTGGTTTTCTGGCTTGATCTCCTCCAATAGGGGACATGTAGGAGGCAGCCACTTGATGATCTCTCTCCTCATAGTCTCTCTCCTCATAGATGTTTCTCTCTCTGCCTCTCTGAAATCAATAAAATCATATTAAATTGAAAGAGTGATCATCAGTCAGTAAGAATACTGGAAATCAAGCATGCTCACGTTATTGTTGAAAATAAATATTGATGCTATCTTTTTATATATTAATTTCTAGAATTTTATTTCCCAAAAGTATGCATAAAAATTTATCCAAATGTTCAATAGCGAGATGTTTTCCACTATAAAATCATACAACAGCTACTACATATAGCCTTAAAAAAAAATGAAACAGATCTATATGTTATGAAAAGCTGTACAAGATATAGTGGCAACTGAAAAAATATGTTGCAAACAATATACGTAATAGGAACTCATCTTTGTTCTTTTTTATTTTTACTTTTTAATTTACTGATTTGAGAGAAACATTGATTTGCTATTCTACTTATTTATGCATTCATTGACTGACTTATATGTACCCTGACCAGGGATTGAACCCACAACCTTGGTGTATCAGGATGATGTTCTAACTAATTGACCTTCCCAGCCAGGGCCTCCCCTGCCCACAACCCTCACTTTTGTTACTACATATACTGAGACAAAGAGTTTAAGAAAAAACCTCACACTGTTGAGGAGAATAGTGTCACCAGAAACTTTAGCTTTTTGTATTGTCTAATTTTATAAAATGGGTTATATATAACTTTGGATTACATTTTTAACAAGCAAAACTAAAATTTGTTCTTAAAAAACTTACATAATTAAAGGATATAAAAACAAAACAAAAATCCTTTAAGATTTCAAAAAAGTTATTAGATTTATTTAAGTAGTATTATCTGGCACATAATAAAAATAAAGAAACAAAAATAACAGAAAAAACAACCTAGGATACCTACCAACTGTTCAAAGGCAGCAGCTCTGTTTTGATAAAATGTGGAAAGGTCAACATTCTTCTCTGTAGGGCACAGACTGATGGCCTCTGTATAGCAATGAATAGCTTGTTCATATTTCCCTGCTTTAAAGTATTTGTTGCCTTTGTTCTTGGCTGCTTGGGCTCTATCAAGAGAGTTCTAAAATGAGAGGAAACAATTATTAAATACTTATCAATAGTCAGGAATAGATTCAGATCACAGTACCTAAATGATACACTGACAGAAAAAAAAAAACAGGAAGGTGTTCAGAATGGTCCTTTACCTGAATGGTGCAAGTCACTTCATATAATTATCTTCCTGGGATAATCTACACTAATAAAAGAGAAACATGCAAATTGACCATGCCTCCACCATGCCCACAAGCCAGAGTATGCAAATGAACCCAACAAAGATGATAGCTAATTAGCATATGCAGGCTCTTCCCGGGACCCAGGCCGTTCCTAGCCTGTAGGCCTACGCATAGGCACCAGGCGGCTAGGGATGGGGCAGAAACATAGCGATATGGCACGCGTGCATCGGTGCCTAATGGTGGCCCAGGTCCGCACGCCCCCCAGGCTGGTGCCCACAATGAGGGGCTGGCTGCTAGCCTGGGGACATGGCCCTAGCCCAGTGAACACAACACAGGGGGTCCACAGGGAAAACACCTGTTCTTTTTAAAAATATATATTTTATTTATTTTTTACAGAGGAGAGGGATAGGCAGTAGGAAACATCGATGAGAGAGAAACAATCACCTGCCTCCTACACATTCCCCACTGATGATGTGCCCCCAACTAAGGTACATGCCCTTAACAAGAATCAAACCTGGGACCCTTTAGTCGGCAGGCCGATGCTCTATCCACTGAGCCAAACCAGTTTGAGCGTAAACACTTTTCTGACTGCTCATTCACTAAGCTCTTGTACGCTCTTGGAGGAAAAAATGAAGGTCTGCTGCTTGAGGAGCTAAGAAGTGTCATATCCTGCCCTAGCCGGTTTGGCTCAGTGGATAGAGCCTTGCCCTGCCAACCACAGGGTCTGGGTTTGATTCTGATCAAGGACATGTACCTAGATTACAGGCTCCTCCCTAGCCAGGGCCAAGATCAGAGCTCATGCAGGAGGCAACCAATTGAAGTGTCCCTTTCACATTGATATTTCTCTGTCTTTCCTTCTCTCTTCCACATTCTCTAAAAATCAATGGAAACATATCCTCAAGTGAGGATTAAAAAAAAGAAAAAAGAAAAAAGAGTCATATCTTATGAAAGACACATCTTAAAAATGCCTAAAGAAAGTTGTCATTTTTTCATGGTGAAGGGACTGGAATCTATGTTGATGAAAATACCTTGGTGGCTGCAGTGGCTGGCAGTAGTGAGTTGATGGGGCTGGTGCCTTCCCCTGATCAGCCTGATCACCTCCCACAGAGAGAGGACAGACTGCGGCTTAGGTCTGCTCCCCACCGGGATGGGGGCGTGGGGGGAGTGAAGGGGGGTGGAGGAGGCCTAAGCCATCAGTAGGACATCCCCTGAGGGCTCCCAGTCTGTGAGAGGGGGCAGGCTGGGCAGAGGGAACCCCCTACCAGTGCATGGATTTTGTGCATCGGGCCCCTAGTCCTGTGTAATAAAAGCTTAATATGCTAAGTGTCCAGTTGGCTGGTCAACCAATTAAAGCGTAATGTGCTAATGATATGCTAAGGCTGCTCAACTGCTCACTATGACATGCACTGACCACCAGGGGGCAGACAGTCAAACAGTTGCTATGATGTGCACTGCCACCAGGGGACAGACACTCCTACTGGCAGCTTAGCTTGCTGCTGGGGTTTGGCCAATGGGGACTGAAAGAGACGGGCCTGACACACCCTGGAGGCCTCCCAGGCCCTGATCATGCATGCACCGGGCCTCTAAATCTCAGTAATAAGACTGCTAAATCAACAGGTTTACGTATTTTTTTTAAATATATTTTTATTGATTTTTTAC